TGTTTTAATATTGAATATAATGTATTAAAAAGGCTGTCATTACGATGTGATGAGTTGTGAATCGTGTAAATCATTTTTCCGGAGAAGTGCACTCATTTATGGCGTAAATCTATTTGTTTATAATTTAACTTAGTTTGTTTTAATGAAATTATGTTATCATGGCCATTCAGGATCAATTGAAATGCTATTTGGGCGGTAATTGTGTGATTGATGTGGACAGCAGAACTAATTGCAAGAAATGTCGTTTAGATAAGTGTTTAGCAGTCGGTATGAAAACGGTATGAATTATAAGTTTATTAATTTATTGCGAAATTCATTTTGACTGGCTATCAAATTCATATTAGAATCTGTTTTGTGTGGGCAAACAAAAACAACTTGACTTGGACCTAGCACCTAAAACAAATCAAACTAATAAATCTTTTCAAACAAATTATACGAATAATGAATTAAGTATTCATACAAATGAATTCAATATACAATTAAATGACAATTCACTGGATATGTCGATTTGCCCCACAATAAGGCCGATCACTGATTATAGCAATCAATTCAATGAATTAGAGGGCAATCGGTTGAGTGAACTCTTGGACGCAATGAATGAGTTGAAAATGTCTAATAAAACTAATCATTCAATTAAGATCACTAATAATTACGATGCCTTACATGTACTAATGTCTAGCAGTGACGATCATGTCAAAAATTTGGTCAAAATGTATAAATGTTTTAAAGGATTTGACAGTTTCTGCGAAAATGATAGACTTATTCTTATCAAGTATTCCTCAATAGAAGTGATGATCTTGAGAATGGTTTTGGATTTTAATTTCGATGGCAATTATTGGACTGTTATTAGCGTATGTAATATCTACATTAGTCAAAATTTTTAAATAGTTTAATTTGTGTGTAATTTATACAGAATAATAAATCGTATCTGGTCAAACTGGATTTACTTAAAGACCCTCCAATCAATTCAGATGACGATGATAGTCCATATAGTTTACATAAAATCTTTTTGCAAAATATTGGACTTGATTGGGATTCAGACTCACTTATAATTGACTTGGTAATTATAAAATATTAATTTAAAATTTTAGAAGTTTATAGTATTTCATTTTGCCCTTAGTTAACAGCTATTATACACTTTAACCCAAATCGACCAAAACTAATCAATAGAAAACTTGTTGAGTAAGTAATGTACCGTAATAAACATTACCTTTATTAATGCTTTACTTAAATTAAATCTTAATATTAAAAATAGGTGTCATCAAAATATTTACATTCATTTACTTCAACGCTATTTGCAAATGAAATGTCGATCGGAATTACTATCGGATGTCAAATACAAACGACTTATGGATAATTTATTTTATTTAAATATATTAAACCATA